AAATTAGGGACGGCTAGCGCAGATAGCCCTCGTGTAGCTTTGCGCGAAATTCAAAAAACAATCATACAGGAATAGGTTAAGAATTATCTTATTTTCTTTTGAGAAAAGAAGAATGAAACGTGATCTTATTGATGCTTACAAGAAAGGATCGATAGGGTAAAGATCTCTGATTACTTTGTGTTGTATATGATAGGTCAAAAGAACAAAAGTTTTGGATTTGGAAAAGACAGGCTAGTATCCAGTTATATTTTTCTGACGGCGTGATTGACTTCTGAAATGAGTTGTCAATGGCAGTAATGGAGCCAGCGCTTCATTGGAGTTTAAGAGGGAAACCGATAATTTCCTGCCAAATAAAGGGTGGGTTTACATTCTTAAAGGGCTCCTTGTATGTTGTACTGTATTAAGTCGTCGTAGAACTGTTTTTCGCTGGCGCCCCTCGGTGGCTCGACAGTGAGCTTGAGGGATTATAACGGTGGTCACAAAATAGATAGGTCATCGTACAGCGTTGTGCTTAATAATTAACAAATAAGGTTTTCTCTGGAAAAACTTGGACGGCACAAGGACATTCACACATTCTTAAAATTAACAAATATAAAGCATTATACATGGGCGTCCGCTGGGGGGGGGGGCAAGAGGGGGCAATTGCCCCAACCTGGAAAATGAGAAACACAATTCTTTCTTTATTCATTCAGTATATGTATATGAAATTTTTTATTCAATTCACAATTTCACACTACTTTTCCCCCTCCCCGTAACAATTTTTACGGACGCCCATGAAAGTGTACAGTGGTAAAAATAGCACAATTAAGACATTCCCACATATACTGTGTCTCTCCTCTGGTTGTGTAGGCATTTTTCCTGACTTCTTTTAAGCTACAGAACCGTGCGAATTCCGGATTTTAGCGCTGTAAGTTATTAAGCTTACCGCTGACCCACCGGCATACAAAATATTACTGTTGTTTTTAGCGCAAAGCTACACAATGAGTTCAGCTGTAAGTCTGTAGGCTAAGGAGTAAATGGGTTTTGAGTAAATGAGACAAAAGACAAAAAACGTCGCATGGATCTATTATTACAGTCTCGTTTCGCATAACTGACGAAGGGAAGGTAATAAACACAGTATGTGTTCAGTGTGTTGTGTTGGAATCGAACCTTGGATTTTAAAGTTTTCAGTGACCCATTGTGGGACAGTAATAAAATCATTAAGTGTTATCAAATATAATTAATATAATAAAACACCGAAAAACAAACGATACACCATTTCTCGTCATCCATTAATCCTAGAAATATTCACATTTTGTAGTACTGTTTGCTGTTAAGCACAGAGCTACACGATGGGCTGTCTATGCTCTGAACATCACGGGTGTCGAGCCGAGAACTTTAATGTTATAGGTACGGTGTAGCACCTCATTATACACTCTCAAACAACATATATTTTAGATTTTAAATTCATACAAACATTTAAATTTCTGATGCCTAAAACACCCGGGGAAATATTAGCGTAAGCATCTGTGACGCAGCTGGTGTGATTCATATACTTTGCACCAACAACTCTGAACCCACTAATACTTTTGTGCAGATGCACGCACGTACACGCTTAACAAACTGGTCTCTACTAAGTCGTTCTAGAATGATATGGAAATGGAGAAATGTCAGAAAACACCTGTTGATGACTTATATGAGCATATGTTGAGAGGGGGTGAGGGGAGGGTATAGCGTTGTTTCGGATATTCGCGCAAAGCTACTCAGGGCTATCTGTGCTAGTCGTTTCTAATTTTGAAGTGAGAGACTAGAGAGAGAAGGCAGCTAGTCAAAAATACACACCGCCAATTTTTGGGTTACTCTTGTATGACCGAAGAATGAAATTTTACCACTACCCTTATAACGCACCCACACAGCGCCAAAGTGCGGAAGGCAATCTTTAAAATTCTTTTGGCGGTAACGGACGGCGAACGCCGGACTTGCACATCCACAGAGAGTTGAAATATATGAGCTATCTTCCCCATGAAAGTCATTCCTCGTAAAATATCTACAAATAGTGGTGACATTTTCAGTAAAATTTATCTTTTATCATTCCATATCAGATACAAACCAACGCGTAATAATCGTATTTTAATAAACAAATGCCAGGTGGTTAACACAAACAATTCAATGATATCTATTTGATTGTTTTACCGTTAAAAACAAAGCTACACAATGGAATATTTGTGCAGTGCCGACCGTAGGGACCCAGCTCTACATTTTAGCATTATATGTCCTCAAGCTTACTGTTGAGACAGTGAGAGTGAACAAATGCTAATTGGGGGAATATTTCCATCTCTATCGTCAGCTAGCCGAGTTAAAAATAAAATCTTTACCCCCCATGTAGATTGAACGGCACTGAAATTTATATATATAGTTCCTTAAGAAAGCTTCCCCGGTGGATCAATGGTAAGTTTATGGACTTACAGTGCTAAAATCTAGGGTTCAATTTCTTGCTGTGGACAGAGGGGAGGGTTTGTTTGTTTTTGAATTTCGCGCAAAGCTACATGAGGGCTATCTGCGCTAGCCGTCCCTAATTTAGCAGTGTAAGACTAGAGGGAATGTAGCTAGTCATCACCGCCCACCGCCAACTCTTGGACTACTTTTTTACTAACGAATAGTGGGATTGACCGTCACATTATAACGCCCCCACGGCTGAAAAAGCGAGCATGTTTGGTGGGACGGGGATTCGAACCCGCGACCCTCAGATTGCGAGTCGAGGCAGTGAGGCTCATTACACAATCCTAATCACTCTTTTATTATATAAAAATTCACACGAAACTGGCCAAAAATTTAACTTTACTAACAAAACTTCTCTTTTTTTTTAAAAAAAAATAACTATACCAAGTTTTGCAGATGCACATTTAACCGAGGTTGGATAAAACCTCTTTTTCTTTGCCTTTTCATATAATTCGTCGTTATATGCTACGAATGTTGTACGCATTGGCCTATTTACGTTCGAAGTTAATTTTGTTTGCTGAGAAGCATTTAGCTATATAACGGGTTGTCTGTGCTGTGCCCATTGCAAGGTTCAAAATGCAGCTTTATAAGCCTTCAAGCTGACCTCCGAACCATGGGGGAGAGGGGGTAGAGCGTCAACTTGGTAAGTCGTTTTTGTTTGTTTGCGTTAAACACTAAGCTACAGAATGGGCTATATGTGATCTGCTCACCGCAAGTATTGAAACTCGTTTTTTAAAATAATAATAAACCTTAAATAAACTTACTACTGAGCCATCGGGGGGGGGGGGTAGCTAGGTAAGCTAAATAATTTTATCTTTCACGGAGTGTTTACATCCTAGCCATCTTTATCAGGTTTTCTGGCGCTCCAAAGACCGTGCCAATAGTAATAAAAAATGTATAAATTATTCGGCAGTTTTTGATTTTCTTTCTATTTTTCTTAAGAAATTAATTTCTTAAATACTGAAATAGAGGGAGCAAAAGGATTAAATTAAAAACAACATTTTTCAGCATGTTTAAAAAGTAGTACAAGGTGGTAAACCCTGCATATTATAAAAATGTTATCCCCGGCGGTGGATACAACGCAAGTAATTCATTGTGCAGCTTTGCGCTAAAACAAATATATGCCTAAAATAGTTAAAGTTGTTCAACTCAAAAACAACAAAAGTTAACGTTCCAGCCAGATGAAATTCATCTGGCGTCTCGGCCAAGTTCGTTTGGCTGAAATGTTACTAAGTTTTCTTTACAAAGATTTGTTTATTATTATTATTTTGGTTTATTTACTGATTTTTGTTGCTCGTTAAGCAACACATCAGAATTGTTTTCTGAGAGAATTTCAAATTATGAATTATATTTTATGTTATTATCTTCACGCTCGAACCCCCTATTTTTGTAATGCAAAATAATTATACTTGTATAGTTATAGCGCGGCTGTTTATGGTATTTAACGTTTTCTAAATAGTTTACATTTTTCTGATAAACGCCACTCCGCCTCCCAGTGGCACAGCGGCATGTCTGCGGACTTACAACGCTAGAATCCAGGTTTCGATACACGCAGTGAGTAGAGCAAAGATAGCCCGTGTTGATTTGTGCTTAATTTCAAACAGAAATATTATTTCTGATGAAGTATTAGCATTTTTTCACTTCAAATTGTCTCATGCCCCCAGACAGTAGTATTAACATGCTTTGCATGTTGATTGGGTTTAGCACAATATGCGTTAGCTTTTGATCTCGCAAGTTAGAATCCCCCTTTCAAACATTCTGCGCACAGACCTGATCTTATGTACTTTTTAAAGCAATACCTGTACGGTTAGTTTATTAGTATTATTTTCAAATTGAATTTTGTTGAACCCCCTCTTCCATCATCTGAGGGTGTGTTATTATTATTATTATTACTAGCTTTCTTTTTTTCTGTCTTTCAGGGTCATTCTTCAGTTGGTAGCCTAGATACAACGTTGCACTTGATTGGCTGAAAGAGTAGGGCGGAGGGGATATTGTTCACATGATACAGCGGGCTCGTGTTGTAGCAATCTCGGATCAGCTGGTAAGTTTACTAAACAAGAAACGTCAGACGGTGGACTGTTGTAAAGGTGGGAAGAGCGTGACTGATAAAAAGTCAAAATTAGTTTTTGTGTTAAAACGTTAGTAAGATTTAACATTGGTAAAGAAATTGTTGAATATTTTGATGGTAAAATAGGTGTAAGTTATTAAAATCGAAGGGAGTATTATGAAACCTTACGAAGGTATGCTTTCATTTCCCAAACTTTAGTTGAACTAAGTTACTATCCTAGTACTTGCGGTTATTTCTTCTCACGTATCGCACTTATATTTAACTTTAACGTCATGCATTCTACATTAGATTGATTTTAAGTACAGCTACATGATGTCTTATCAATGTTGCTTTAAGTTTTATAGTTTTAGGCTAAATTACTTGGCATGAGCTAAAGAAAATAAGGTATTGTAATGAAAACTTAAGTTCTTTGAAAAATTTAAAAACTGGCGTTATTGTACTTGTACTTAGTTTTATTTGTTTTCGTGTGATTCTAATTTCTAGGCTACTTTCGATTCAAAACACAACAAACATTTCTAATCGAAAAATGTTGTTTAATATTTTCCATTGTCTGAAAGCGAAAGTCTAACCAAAAGGATGATATTTATTTTTTGATAATTTTGTCGCCTCTTGTGAGACCGGGTAGCGCCAAAAAAAAAAGAGAACATTTTTGTGTTATAGACAGCTTTTGATATAACTAAAAGGGTGAAAGGCTGAGTAACAGTTTTAATAATAGAAATTACTTGTCATCTTTCCTGTTTAATGCATTTCTTCTCCGTTTGATATAAATGGTTTTGATGTTAAATAACTGAAGGACAGCTGCAATATAATTTTTTTTTTTCGGTAGATGTGCAGGCTGGTATGGAAGAAATAGAGGTTGATCCTTATGATCTTTACGCTAGTTTGGGTACACTCATTGTTGAAGGTCGACTGTCTGGACTTGCAGAAAGGGGATACAGAGAAGATCCCTATTGTTTACCACCTCATGGTCAAAACAAGTGTGATATTACTTCTGAAATTGTAAGTTTTAATTTCCTCAGTCTCTTGTATATTTTGTTTACTGAGTTATATTTTGTATTCTGGTTTTGCTTTGTGATGAACTACAAAACAATTATTTTTTTCTTGATATTGTTGTTCCTTATGTAATTTAACAGTTTTTGTTTTATCTATGTTTGTTACTTTGAATTAAATTTGGGTTAAATGTCTCTATTAACATAACATTAAAGAAAAACAAAGGACCTTTTGGTCTATCTAAGTCATCCTAAGTACTAAATTAAAATAAACATAAAAAAAATTCAAAGCCAGCCCTTTTCATTCAAATATTTATCAAACTTTCCTTAGTTCCCTTAAATTAAATGCATCTACCACATCTATAGGAAACTCATTCCAAAGGCCAACCACTTTATTAGAAAAATATAGCTATTTTAGCTGTAGATGACCACTACCTTGCCAAAATTTATACTTAATTTATACTATACCTAACCAATACCTTAAACACACACAATTTTATCTTTCTATGATACAAGACTTTAAAATTTTTGTCTTGTCAATCACAGCATGATATCTTCACATAACTTTGATTTTAATGAATGTGTAACTTTGAATTCCTAGTTGTTATTAGTTTTAATTTGTTGTTGGACCTGGTATATCGTGAACAGCCTGAACTTCAATCAATTTTCTGCTTTGTTTTTACATCTTTAAACTGCATTTTTTAAATAATTTCTCATTGTTGAAATTAATGAGCTAGTTAAAATCTAATTTTTCCATAGAAGTTGCTGTCTCAAGCCCATACCTTATGCCAAAAGCATTAAGTAAATTTCAGAATATTTACATTATCTCTAGCATTGAATACCTAACAGTAATATATTTATTTAATTCCACACATCCATACACAAGTGAAACTTATCTACAGATAAGGGGCTATTGCTATGTTACAGCCATATGTTTACTCAATTTCTAAAATTTTTGGTTAGGTCTATGCTACCCACAAATCATCACCAAAGATTTTCTTCACAATTCATTCTCATATTTACATTTAAATACACAAATTTCAACTTCTTTGGACTTTTTTTTTGTAGTGAAACTATGCTTTATTTTCTTGTTGCAGTCTTAAAAAAAAAAAGAACATTCTCTCTTAAACAAAGAAGTCTAAACTACTACATCTTTTATTGTAAAAAGAATTTTCAAAAATAATGCCTCACATGCTTTAATCTTAATCTGATTCTAACTCATTGTTAAAACTGTGCCTTTGGAACATGCTTAAAATGTATAGTAGTGATTTTTTTTTTAAATTTCTCATTTATGTACCACAGGAAAAAAAAAAAATTGAATATGACACTGAAAAGTATGGTAACATTTAATAACCTAAAATTATCATAAAAATTTCTCCAGTTAATATCTCTTAACTCGTTTGTGGATTCCTCCTACCCCCATTTCTTGAGGTACTGTGTTCTTCAAAAAAATTCCATGGCTACTTGACCTACGGTAAGAAGCTGATTAACAAACCTTGTAGTAAATGCTTCTGGTTATCTTTTAAAGGTGGAAAGGTACTGTAAAATGGTAATCTTTATTTTCTGTTATAAATATATTTGATCTATTTATATGCGAAATTGTTTTTTAAAATTTGTGCTTGTGCTGTACATATAAGCTTCAATCCAGTGCCATGCAGGCTATGTGTAATAACACGGTAGCTGCAATCATCCCACTCAGAAGTATATGAAATAAATATTTATTATAATAAAATAAAACCTTGCAATTTTTATTCCTGTCAAGCATTTAATATTATATTCCCTTAAGCAGCTTCAAAATTGGAGTCTAGAATTCCAAAACAAAATTTGTTTTTACCATATCAACATCACAATATCCAAAATATAACAATATCTCTGCTCATCATCTATCTGAATATTTAATGTGAAATGTACATATTTTAAATGTTTAGGATACTTTCTGATAATGTAAGTATCCATCCTTCAGTCCATCCATAAGCACCACGTGGGGCAGGATTTCTTCCACTGAACATCTAGAATTACTTACTTGTGTTTTGACAAAATCTATATGGTTTTTATTGCGTGGCTTGCTATGATAGAAGTTAAGTTGAAATATTTTAACCTGACTGTTACTGGCAACTTTCCACTGTTTTAAACTGTTATGTGAATCCATATCAGAATTTTTTTTTATTTTAGCCTGCTGGTGAAGATTCAGTTGTTCATTTTATGCTAATATATTTTTAGTTAAATTTCATCACTCTCCAAGGCACAGCCAATACAATATTGGAAAATGTTTTTTGAGAATGTGTGTTTCACATAATTTTTCATACAGCACTCATTTCATGGCTCTTACTATTTTAATAAGTGTCTTTCGGATAGGATATTAAGGTAATTTTATGCACTTTCTAAACAAAGTGGCATACATTTGATTTATTTAATAGCAAGTTCATGAAGAATTTTAAACCAATTCTGTTGCTTCCTGAGACCTTGGGAATTAAAGGATACCCTTACTCTCTTGACTTCAATTTTTTATTTACTCAATACATCATGTAACTTTTCCCCTGAGGAACCTCATACATCAAATCAAAAAACCTTCAACTTACCCAAGCCAAAAATGTTTGTTTTGTTAACTGTCTCACTATTGACACCAAAACTAAAGCTGATATTAGAAAGTGAGGAACAAAATACTTTGTTGAATGAATGTTGTTGCATTATATTGTTAAAACCTCTAAATATGCACTTCCTATTTCATTGTTCATATAAGAACAAATATGTGTTCAGTAAATGTAATCGAGTCAAATTAAAACATTTCAACCAACTTATATTTTCGTACAGTTATAACACAAACAAACAAATATTTTTAAAGAGTGGTGTGTGTATTAGAAGAGTTTTCAGAATGGCAGTAAACTTTCAGAGGTGTATAAAGAATGAAAAATGTCTTTAGTTTTATGCATCCTGTACTCAGCAAGAAAATGTTACTGTACAGGGCAAAATAACTAAGTTAATGTTGATTATGGTTTCAAACGTGAAGAATAACATATATATATCATAACAAAGTAATGTATTGTTTTGTTTTTATATTAGGTTTTTATGATAATCTAAAAGTTACTGAGTGTTTTAAGTTTCGGTATAAAGTATTAAGTTTGACACAAACACTGACCAACAAAAAAAATCCATCAGAAATAGATTTATATTTATTTCTTTTGATAATAATTTGCCCTTAGAAACCAAAGAGATAATAAATAAAACCACATTTTAAGATCATTCTGGTAAATCATGCATGCACACATGTATGTCACTGAAGATTTGAATGACATGAATAAATGAAAAATTTTCCTTTTGGAAAACAACTTTTCCTGTTAGAAATGTACACGATTGTGTATTTAGTGCCTTTTTATTTCTATAATTTTGTTTTTCAGTGCCAGCAACAGGCTGTTTTGTCAAAGCACATGTTGCTGCTTTGGAAGTATAGCATTCCCATGTCCTTAGAGGTTATTTTGCATCATAACTGTTGTAAACCAGAGAACTTTGAAGGTTTAGATACTGAAACATCATGTAACATTCATACATCATCAGTTCTACTAGAGAAATGGAACATCCACATCCTACCAAAGTAAGATTGAAGCTAAATGTTTGTTTGACTTGGATACGTCACTTGTTCTTTTGAAAAGTGGAATATCTGTATTAACAGAAGGATAAAAATCAAAGATGTCTGCAAGTGTTCTATTATTGTAGCTATAATCAAGAGTAAAGCTAATTCTTAATTATTCATACATATAACTGAAAGAGTTGTTCCTCTTTCCTATCATACAATAGAATATTTGCTTGTATTTTAACAGTATATATTCTTGTCTGCTATATCTACAAAATACTCAGATTAAGACAGGGCACTAACTTGTTGCTTACTGGCTAAAATAACTTTACTCATTCTACAGTACCTCATGAAAACTATTACTCTATAAATCTGTGGTACCTAATTCTCCAAAACTAAGCAAAATTGTACCTAAATAAATGCATACTAAACCTCAAAAAATATATATGTTTATTTCTCCTAATTTCATGATTGATTACATTATAGTTTTGTGAAACAGATGACATGTGGATAAAATAAATATAACTGTAGGGAAGTCAGACTATAAAAGCATTGGGAGTATTCTATCTATCAGACATGCTCCAAAGACAATTTTGTGAAACAGATGACATGTGGACAAAATAAATATAACTGTAGGGAAGTCAGACTATAAAAGCATTGGGAGTTTTCTATCTATCAGACATGCTCCAAAGACAATTTTGTCGAACAAGGTATCTGTTATGGAAGATCAAATAAAGGGATATCAACTCCTATCGTATTTCACTGTTTGCAGCCTGTTGTGGGGAAAAAAGTCACCCCTAATATTTTGACATAAAAGACAGTTGTTAAAATAGCCTTTTAGTGGAAATATATCACCCCTATATTTTTACATTTGTATGAGGGTAGAGGTTGGGAGTGGAGTCTCTTTTTATATTTGAAACAAACTTCCTCATCTAGTATGTATTGTAACTTAATTCATTAAGATCAAGGAATGATTTGAGAAATTATTTTTGTATTTTAAGAAACATTTTGGGACTTATCTTGAAATGATTACTAATGCAATGCCCAGAAAATAAAATAATTTAATTAAACCTAATGTTTCAACATCTTTTTTGAAGGGTTTTAGAGCATCACAGGCTATAAACACTACCTGATGTTTACTTGACCATAACTGAAAAGAACACGGTAGTTTAGCAGTAGGAACTCGTGGAGTAAGAATAATAACAAATAAAAAAAAAAACAAAAAAGTGTGAGCATCTGTACAAGGAAATGAGCTACATACAACAACATTAAGAATTAAGATTTAATAATATAGTTTACTGAATTAATGAAAAACAACGTTGTAAGTCATGAAGTCGTATAATATTCAAACTTGTCTGATAATGTTTATTCTAGTAAAATTGGATTAATTACTTTTGATTTAGCTGAAGGTTATTTTTACTGTAGTGCAACATACTGTATGTCTTATGTATTTTTTTTCATATTAACTTATCTTAAAATGTTTCAATAACTTTTAATGTTTAAAAATACAAGTTTAGTTATGTGTGTTTTTCATTCTTGTTGCAGAGTTTCATATGCGAACATAACACCTCAAGGATTGATCTTGGCAGTGCACTCATTTCTTTATTTTTCACAATTACGTGTCTGGTGTAGTCTTTCAGGGGACAAATCTCCACAAAATGTACAATATAGGTGAGTAAAGAAGCTTGTTTACCAAACCAATAGAATCATAATAATAACAGTGTTATCAAAGACTGATTCTCATTTATTATGAAGTAAAACATATTAATATATTTGGTCAGAAATGTAATAATCCTGCTTATGTACATACACCCACTTTACGGTACACATAACAACCAGATATGATTAAAGTTTTATAATGGCTAGAAATTATTAGTGGTTTTCCAAGTGTTAAGACACGCTTCACTAATATATGTTGTTATTGTTTGTAGCAAGTACTGATGATTATAGAGATTGTTATATTACATTAGAAATTATGCACACTCATTGGTCAGAAAATTACTAACAAGTTCTAATAATATGCTTTACTGTCTCAGGCTTGACTAACAGCAACATCATGATATGACATAACCCCCCTATATCATAATGGATGTCCATGGAATGTCAAATTATTCCTTGATTGGTGTGGTTTTCTACTGTTTTAGAGAGGCTGGTGGCTGTGGCATCATGATAACACATTCTTAAGACACTTGATTTAGTTAATGTGGTGGTTAGGGCAGGTATTGAAATCCATTTCATGTTCTTGAAGCCATTCCTGAATGATATATATAAAGAACTTGTTACCTTGATACATACCATCATATCTGGATAGAAGTGTAACATGAGAGGGTGTACCTCATCAGCCATAATCCCTAATTATGCTCTGCATGTCACTCAACAAACAGTTGTGATCATAAGTTTCAAACCATCCCAAATAAATAAAACCCAGATTATTATTTTCCCCCCCTAGCAACTTAAATATCAGGTATGATACGTTCCGGGCCCAGTATTTCTGAGCTTCTGCCATAACTGAACCCTTCCATTTGTTTTAAACAGTATAATTATTTTTGGACCACATGAATTTCTTCCATTGATCTAGAGTCCAGATCAGATGCTCATGGTATGCTAAAAGTGACATTTTTGCATACTTGCAGAAATGGAGGGCATACAAAGAGGTGCTCTTCTATCAAAGCCAATATTTCCAGTATATTATGTATGTGGAAATGCTCGTATTTAGTCTGTTGTTGAATATGTCAGTTTGGTTTGGATGGCTTTTGCATACACTTGTAGTCTCTCTCTTGGTGGTGATCTGTTTTTTGCCAGAGATTTTCTTGCAAGTGATTGATTTTCCAGCAATTTCTATTCCAGATAGATCTTTAATATCTAGCTGGTAGTCTTTGTTGGTTTCAGCACTGCCTGGAAGGACAATCCCACTGGACAAGCACTCGGTATTATGTTCCTAGCAAAGTTATATAAAACCTTCTGTTTGTCCTTGTTACAGAGTTAATAAAGCTGACTAGAGTATAATCAGCTTTTATACATCAGCTTGATCAGGCAGAGCACCATGTGATCCAGTTTCATTTGCATGTTGAGGGAATCCAGCTCTGTCATTTTGTGGTCAGTGTGTATGTGAGTGTGTGAGAGAGAGAATAATGCTGATTGGGTAGTTATAGCTCTTAGCAATAATCTAGTTGCAAAGATACTATTAAAAAATGTATAGGAACTTTTTCGTACAAATTTTTTCTACTTTGGATAGGTCGCCATTAGAGAATTATTAAAACTAATATCTTTTTTTTTTAAAAAAATAATTTTCTCATGAAATTTATTTATTTTCAGAATTTGTGTTCCAGGAGAAGCCTCCTCGAAAAAATTTTCCAAACCACCTAAAATGCACGTTTTTCCCGTGGTTAATGTTGGAAAAAATAGTGCTGTAAAAGTCACTGTACAAACTTTACCTCATAATGTGCATCTTACCATTGCCTGCAAAATTAATCAAAGACAAGACACAGAAGAGAGAAAAGTTGCTGAAGTGCCCAAAACAGTAGGGGATGGAATTGGAACTTGTGTACAAGATTATGAACTTTTCACTGCTAGTAATCTCGTATCTCGAGGTAAAGCCGACAAACTACCATCACGAACAGGAAGTTCTGCAGAATCCATGATAGGTGACTGTCTTCTTGATCCACTACAGTGGTTACATTGTCAGTCATCCTCCTACAGTGGCACTTCCAGCATTGAAGCTCCAGAACGACCTATGCCAAGTGTAGCACATAATAGAAAAGAATGTGTGAAAGGACACAATGATGAGCAAAGAAGACATCAAAGATGTCCAATTGTGGAACGTTTCTTGAGAAAAGAACGTGAAGCATCTTCAGAGTTAAAATCTTTGAAATGTCAAGAAATGTCTTTGAACACAATGAAGTATGATTCAAAAGAACAGAAAATAAATTCTTGTTTGAATGAAACAAAAGCCCGTGAAGTGAGCTCATGTTATTATGAGGTAAACCAATCTACTTTGTCAAACCAAGAAATGCAGTTTTTTATTGAAACATTATGCCAGAAGTTTATATGCAATAAATATACCACTGAAATACACTCTCTAAATCAAAATAACTGTTTACAATTTAAAGGAAATGTACACATTAATATACCAGATAAGAAGTTTCTCTATAAAACCTTAAAAAACCTACTTCATATAACAAGCCAGAGTTGTAAATCATTTATTAAATCTGATGTTCCAACTCCGAAAAAGAAAAAACCTGAAGATTCTAATCTGGAGCTTCACAGGATTGCCTCAGCTTTCTCAAATCTCCAGATGAAATTATTTAAGAAATATGAATCAACCAATGTAAATGGAGAACAAACTGTTTTGAAAACTAGTGATATTAGCTTACAGAACCAAGAGTCAAAGTTGGCTTGTGATACATCACATGCCTCTGAATCAAAAGAAGTTGTAGATGTAGAAATTAAGAACACAGAAAGAAGCTCTCAATCAGTCTTTTATCTTCAACATGATTGTGAAAGCATTGATACAGTTAATATAGAAAACTCCACTAGTGAAAACTTGCACAATTCTTCACAGAATCTCAACACTTCTGCAACAGTAGACGAAGACACCAGTCTGATAGAGAATGGGAACACCACTTCTTTGAAAACGGAACAACACAGAAGTATTGATAATCGAAAAGACACAAAAAATCAGAAACTTTCTCATAGTAAAACATGGAGTGAAGGATTGAGCCAGCTTTGTATTAAAGCATGTTTGACTAAAAGTAGCTGCCTTCTGAAGCGGTGTTTACCAGTAATTCAGAACAATTCTTCTGTACCACCCAGTAAGAAGGTATGATCGTACTAAAATCTTGCGTGTATTAGAAGTTTTATTTTTTCAGCATTATAGAATACTTCTGTTGGGTACTATATGTATTTCATTCTGTACATCTTTGCTGTTAGATGCTGCATGCGTTTTACCCAGTATTTTCTACCTATTGGATACTAATTGAGTTTACTCTGCATCTTTCTTTCTTCTTTTATGTTGCTTTTGTACTTTACTGCATATTCCCCTTTTAGTGTATGATCCTGTTTTTCAGTGTGTGTGTGTGCTTAACTTCATGAATGTTTCATTCATTTATTACTTACTGGATTGATATTCTACAGTTCTCTGCACTGGGCACAGCTTTACTGTTTTATTTTTTCTTTGGGTTTCTGTCTCGTGCTTTTGTTGTGTACTATTTTCTTTTACATTTAACTCCTTATTTTATTCTAGTTTTGGGTAATGTGTTAAACTTTTCTGTATATTTTTGTTGGATTTTGTTTGAATTTGCAATTATTTCTTATTATGCTACTATCATAACCAATTTCCTGTCTGCATGTGTTGTTTTATTCTGTTCTGTTATTCAGTTTTTTTATTTGCATCCTTTGAGATAAGTGCTCTCTTATTGCAGGCAGTGAAGAAGTCTGCTAGTAGCAAAGTACCATCTGCAGAAGCAAAAGCTAATTTTAGAAAATCTCTTGACAATGCCACTAGTTTAGTGTTCTACAAATCTAGAAGATTGCCTTTGACATCAAGTCCTGTGAGTATAGCAATTGTTTTTATTAAATGTTTTGTTTGTATTTTTTGGGTTGTTTATTTTGAAAACATGTTAACCACCTTCTCTATTTTACACTTGATATTATGGTGTTTGGTCAACAGAATCTTATACTTGTAAACTGTGATGTTTGTTTTAACAAATATGTTAGAGGCATGCATAAACTGCAGTTTAATTATTGCTGTGCGATTGAGCTTATGGTTTGCAGTGATGTTAGTACCAAATGTTCTCCATTTTTAATATGTGTGAGGGTCCTCTTAACTCTTTCACTACTAGGTTTATAAACAACTCTCCCAGTGCCACATTTATTTTTACATGCATAATAAAAAAACAACAAATATGCATGTTTTAATACTTCATTTCTTATCTGAAATGAGTAAACTTTGGGAAATTTGAAAGGGAATACTTTTTCTTTTTGTTGGTTACAAAATTACAAACTCACTCCCTGCTAATATCACACTTTTTAAGACTCAAACGAAGATTATATAAGTGTCTCGTACATGTGTTCATAGAATTGTTTTAGAAGGGAACATGTATGTGTACATTGCAGTGGAATAGCTAAACACAGCTCATATTTAACTCCTTTTTTTGTTATTGAAAGAAACGGGTATTTTGACAACATGCATTAACTGATGAATGGGGCCATTTATGTTTGCACATCGGTTGTGCTTTTATGGAAGTTTTTACATTGTGGAAGTAGCACGTACCCAGAAGTCAAACCACATTTGCTGTCTTAGATGTGATCTTGGCAGAGTGTAGTTTACCGTAAAAGACTTTATGAATATCTGAAGTATTTCATCAGTGTCTGGATCACATTTTTAAGTCTTGAATTTTGACTAATTACAGAAGATTGACAGAGATTTTTTTATGAAAATGGTATTTTTATATTTTGAAATCTCAAGCCATGTGACCTTATCTTTTGCAAATCATGTGTCTTCTTGGTGAAAAATGAGCCATCAATTAAACCCTTGGAATCTTAGATTGTTTTACTGACTATCTCTTTTAGCCATCAGGATTTTAGGGGTTACAACCCAGGCATCTTAGTGATTATATCCAGATCTTGATTTTAAAGTGTTTGGATTTTTTTTATCGTTCCAGTGTGACGTGCTCAGCCGTTATTTTCATTCTGAATCGGCTATGTAGTTATCCGTATGGCTGTGTAGCTTGAATTCATCTGTGAAAGATGCAAGATTTGATCTCTAACCACAATTTTTACAGAACTGAAGCTCAGAGAATGGTTTTCAGGATTCTCTTTCCAGTTATTCTGACAACATTGTTTGGTACGTCATACATTTACGTACAAAGCATTTCAAAACCCAAAGTTCTTCAAGCAATGGTGAGTAGGTCAGCCCACAGTTGCTAATCAGGTGAGGGTGGTACAGCTTATCTTGGAGGTGTTTGACAATTATTCTTAGTCTGTTGACTAAATTGTTAAAAGAACATTTTTGGCAAGAACTTGGAAATTATGTTTATAGTTCTCAAATTGTATGATGAACTAGTTGAATTATTGTACTGTATATTAAATATTTGCATTCTCTGATACTGCATCAGGTTGTGTTGTTTGCCTCTTTTTGGAGGATTCCCACATAATGGATGGGGTACCTTACCATCATTGAAGTTTGTTAGAAATAGTGTTATGCAGTCATACCTATTGCAGAAAATAAAACTTTCACTGAGAATTTTGCTTTGTCCTTGTTAGAGAGTATTTCTACATGTGCTGATGTACTCCTGAAACTGTCTCGCAAACAACAGTGTTGAAACCACTGGCTTAAACAGTCATTCATATTTTAGCCTTTTTTTTTTTTTTCATCATCATGTGATCACATCTTCAGTAATAGATATTTGCTTTTTACCTGTGGACATCACTCGGGCTGTGTTATTTGAGTTTATCAATTAAATTGATGTTTTTTTTGTCTTCTTTTCAGGGAAATCCTTTGAGCAAATGTTTTTTTCTAACTTCTTGTTCTCAGGTGTCATAAAAGGTACTTTCTTATTCCACTCTTCAGACAGATTAAAAGAAAATAGATTTTCAGATTGTTTAGCTCATTGTAGCATCTTGGACAAAGGATGACTTGGTAAATGGTTTTATCATTATTCTTGCCAAATAAATATTTTGCCATATACTGGTTCCTACTGATTTGACTTCAAAATCTTTTATGATTACCTGTTGGCCATAAAACAGTTATGGATAAACTTGCACACTTATTTTGCCATTCACTTCCCTACACCCTCCTCCTGAAGATACTAACATGAAGTTTACTTGTTTTTGGTAGCTTCTCCTGAAACATCTGATTGTTGGGTGCTTCAACCCATAAAAACTGTATGAACATTTTCAGTCTTTTGAACTCTTAGTTGTACTAAGTGACAACTAGTGCTCTTCACATACTTTTACCCTTTCAATGAATTGTACCTTAATGGTATAATACATCTCAGCTGTTTTCCCCCCAAAACTCAAAGATAGTGAATATGAGCCTTTTGTGGAAATATATTGGAAAGAATTGTTCTGTTATCACAACAAACATGTTCTCCATTAATAATAATATATATATATATACAAGTGTGTGTATCGTTCAACACTGCCCTATTTATAATGAAAGATAAGTTAGAGCATATTTAAATAAAAAACAACATCAACATGGAATACCACTTTCCATCACTCCTGTCCACATTTCTGTTTCTCTTTTTAATGAATTCATCTAAGGATAAGGGGAGCCATTTGACACCAGAGTAAATCGGAGAGAATTGTAGGTAATATAATGTGAAGGGATGTAATTGATTAAGTTATGGTGTCACCATCAAATGGTGTAATGTTGAGTACAGTGCATGAGAAAGGGTTATCAAATGGTGTAATGTTGAGTACAGTGCATGAGAAAGGGTTATCAAATGGTGTAATGTTGAGTACGGTGCATGAGAAAGGGTTATCAAATGGTGTAATGTTGAGTACGGTGCATGAGAAAGGGTTATCAAATGGTGTAATGTTGAGTACGGTGCATGAGAAAGGGTTATCAAATGGTGTAATGTTGAGTACAGTGCATGAGAAAGGGTTATCAAATGGTGTAATGTTGAGTACATTGCATGAGAAAGGGTTATCAAATGGTGTAATGTTGAGTACATTGCATGAGAAAGGGTTATCAAATGGTGTAGAGTACAGTGCATGAGAAAGGGTTATCAGATGGTGTAGTGTAGAGTACAGTGCATGAGAAAGGGTTATCAGATGGTGTAGTGTAGAGTACAGTGCATGAGAAAGGGTTATCAAATGGTGTAGTGTAGAGTACAGTGCATGAGAAAGGTTTATTGAACCAACTGAACTTCTATGTTAACAAGAGGGAGATTTAGGAATGTTAGTTTTAATAAAGGCTAGTCAGAGTAGTCTTCTGTTAACCCTATGTGCATAGGTGGGATTAGAGTGTGCAGTGTCATTCACCATTGTATTATGCACTTGATAATGGAATTGTCAACATTTTATGTTACCCTTGATTGTTGATTTTGCAACAATTTGTGTAAGGGAAGAGACAAAATACTAATGATACTGAAAAAAACACTAGATGTGCAGCTAAGCTTTTATGCGATTGCAATTTGTAAATGGTATGGTGTACAAAAGTATTTCATTCATCACATGAACATCACTTTCACTTGTAAGTCTGAATCAGACTGACCTGATTTGTTACTCACTTGACTTACTGTGTATATATAGGTGACTTGTACTTTTGATTAAAAGCTTGCTACATTTTGTGAAGATACTCTCTCCAAATTTGGAAGTATAGTCAATATTACTCCTTTAATACAGAGGTGGTCTTGACCCTGTGCACATTTAGTTAAAGCCAGTATGATGCAGTTGATAAGTATAAAAAAAATTAGAATCCTTTTTATAATTTCTTCAGACTGCCTCATCTTTCTTTCCATGTTTTTTTATTGTAAGAGAAGTAAAATAGAGATGGATAGTTTTTTACCATCTTTTTGGACTGTGCATTCTTTTTTCTGTTGTTTTTGTTGATTTGTGAAATAAAGAAGGATTGAGAGTAATCTTAAAAGACTTTGTTAGTTCTGGATGTGGCTTGCTCAGTATGTGGACCTATGGTTACAATTATATTAGAAATTTTTAAACTCTCATTAGCAAAATGTTTACCTAATACAGCATTGTTGTTTAAACTTAAAATCAATTTTAAGTAGTAAGGGAACATGTATTAATTGCACAGCATGAGTCTATCAGTTTTAGACAGTAAGAGAACATATTGTTGTATTAATTGCACAGAATGAATTTATGTACTTTTCATGCATTTTATTTATTACTTTAGGTTCCCTTTCGGAAATTGGGAACTAGCTTTGATTTTGACAGCTCTCTGACATCAGTATCAGCCATTAAGAGGTTTGAAAATTATCATCTTTATCAGTATAAATATGGAAATAACCTACCTCCTTTACTAATCAGATTGACTGAATGAAAGATTTTCTTTAATAATAGTGAAAAAGAGTTGACGAATCTTTGTTTTGTGCTAGAATATGATTACTATAAGGTGTGTGTGTGTTTGGAATTTATTTACAAATATAATACAAATAATTTTGGATATATTTGAAGAAGTAGATCTTGAGGCATCTTATTGCACTGACGGTTACATAAATTACTTTTGAATCTCCTGAAGGAGGAAAAATTGTACTTCTCAAAACATGTTGACTAAAATATTCATTGTTTGTTTATGGGATCCATATTTCTCTTAGTTAGTAGTGATTTCATTAATGTAACAAAGGTTGAACAAAATGAATTGTTATACATTTTTCATATACTTTGGTCCTTTAGTATAATCATAATTTTAAACACTTTATTCCCTGTTGTATGACCATTGGACTGAAAGCAAGTGACTGTATAAAGAAAGGTAAGTATGTTACTTTTTAGGGTAAGAATTGGTACACAACACCAAATGTTTAGGTACAATAAGTTGATATCTGATCTAATGAAATAATACCTTGTGTAAATTTATTTTGGATGTATTTTTTTTTATTTGGGTCATTGTGGTCAGGTATATTTAACTATAAGATCAAAAATTTTATTTAAGTTATTACTTTGCAGTATGTGAATCTTAAAATGTGTGCTTTAGTTTTGCAGTTAGATTAAATTTGATAATGGTCAGAACAATGTTTTTTTGACACAATTTGATCACATTCATAGGGCTTTCTTTGGAAATAACTCTGAAGAGGATGATCAAAGAAGTGTTCTAAGTACAAGTGCTCCACCGTCCACTACAAGTAGCTTACTTTGTAATTTTGAGGTATTAGGTTTTGTATTGCATAATTAACCAGCAGTCCGTATACTTAAATTATATATAAATGTTTGTAAAGGAGGGGTGACTACTATATGTCATTTGCATAAATGAACTGAAATAATGTTTAGTAATTGGTTATTGTATTTTCAAGGATATTATGATTGAAAAATACCTTCTTAATTGTGGTTGTCATTTAAATTTTTTTTAATTCTTGTGGCCACATTCTCAGAATAAAATGAAGCCTGCATTTTTACAACTTTGACATTGGAAGATATTGACACTAATGTACTCTGTGACATCTGACAATCAAGCACCTCATTGTATAAGTTGGCTAAAGTGTATTAGTTTAACAAAAAAGTCATAGTTGTTTTAAGCTTTTGTATTGTCATACAGTTGTTTTTTTTGTTGGCAGGTTATTGTAAATTATCTGGTGAAAATAATTCAATGTCCAGTCTGCACAAAGATAAATTAGTTTATTTCCTCCTTTAACGTTTCTACAAGCTTAAGCACGATGGTAACTTGCAGGTCCCATTTACAGCCACACTAACTGTACTGTACTAAAATAGAAATATATTTACTTGTACAACTTCATGGCTGATCAATCCAGTACCTTAAAACAAAACACTAGCTGAAACAAAATCATTCTCTGACTAATTCACTCTGCTGACTAGAAAAAAAAACTATCTCATTGCTTCACTGCTCCTTGTATTTATAATCTACTCCTAGTTTTTATTAGAAAATCTGACATAAAGAATTTTAGAACTTTCTAGGCCTACATTATTAAACTTTTCAATCTATATGTGAGCACCCTCTAGTTAACATCTGCAAAAATAAAAATTAACTTGTACATTACAAGTAAATATATACAGTATTTTGTGACTTGATATGTATTCTTTTGATCTCCAAATATAAACAACTTTATTGTCTGAAAATTTTATGAATTTATTTAGTAGTAGTTAATGAAATATGACAGCCATTGCAGTAGAAGTTCACAAATCATACCTCAAAGGAATATGTATTTTTTAGTTGAGAGAATTATTTATCACTATAGGTTACATGCATGAGGTTTGTCAGGGATAATTTTTTTAACTTGCAAACTATAATTCTGAACAGTTTGTACAGTTGTTTCTTATCAGGACAAATATTATACAAGTTGCTGAGAATGCAGTTTGAAGTCAAAGGGAATTATTTCTGTTTTGCTGTAAATTAACTAACAATGAATTAAAACAAATTTTTTAAAATTCTAACCAAGATATCATTTTTATAACTTAATGTTGGTTTTTCTCTAGGAGTCTGTGTTAAATGGTTGTTTAGAGCCAGTTAGTACAGTAGATGGTTTTACTGCAGAAATTGGTGCCAGTGGATCATTTTGTCCTCGTCACAGAACCTTTCCTGTCATTGTTTTCTTCTATACACTAGGAGTAGACAAAGCTGTTTCTCCATACCTTGTAAGTTTAAAACTTTTGATTTTTTTTTCAAAGTATTTATATCTACACATGTCAGCATACACAGGATATTTCCATGTTTAATTGAACCAAATTATTTGTTTTATCTCAAGGAAACAAAACAACAACAGAAAAGGTGATTCTTTGTAAATATGAAATATCTGACCAATTGTAGGCTTAACTTTTTTTGTTACACTACAAAGTGCATTCTTACCACATTGGGTTAACACTTAATCTTTATGAGCTTTGAAATGTAATCAAAACCTTAAAAAAGCAAATGTATGTTAGTAATATGCAAAATCTTATAAAATTAACGTAATCATTTTCTCTCCAGCAGAACAGGTTTTTTATTCTTTATAAATTGTTGATCTTATTAACTTAGAATAATGGGTAATAACACCATCAGAAAATTCCCTTTTAATAACCTGTTAATAGAACACCATAAAATACATGTATAAGTAAATAATTAAAAATGTACTTTAATGAGTTTATGATTTGGGGAAGAAATAACTAGTTTGATTTTTACAAATTAAATAAACTACTTTATAACTGTAATCATTAAGTGTCCATAAGCATAAGAATTTTTTCTTATCTTTTTTTGTGTGTGACAAGTCAAATTTTACTCTAAGACTGCACCTATAATTGAAGATCAATTATATTTTATAAGAACAATGTTTCAGGTCCTGTGCTGCTCATGAAACTACCTCTTGCATCATATGTATGGTATTTTTGTTGTCTCTCTTTCACCACAGTGAACCTATATTAATATAATATGTAGCATTGATGCAACTAATAAACTCTTCAGAATTACTTAATATGCAACCTTCTAAAATACTAAAAAAATATATGAAGCCAAACCTATCCCTCCATTCATCACTTGTCACTGATTTATACTGGTTTGGGGGGGATTTCATCCCTTATCTGCAACTCTCAGTCTAATGACCATGATTATGTACTATTACTTGACATCACAAATTCCATTGTAATAAACTTATGCAAAGGATTGTAAGGTCAGTCATAGAGCACCTATCATGACAAATTTTCCACTGTATGGGGATTTTTAATTTCAAAAACCATGTTTAAGTGAACCAAAGGCACCAAAATATTGGAATTGGAATGAGAGACCTGACAGATATGTGGTCAAATGGAACTGTTATGATTACAGTTTCCAAGATAATTTTTATTATGAAAACAGCCATTGATTTTGAGGTGCAACTGAGAGCCTTGAACTTTTGTTTTTTGGCTGTTTATCTTATTTTTCCTTATCTTGTTAGAAATACTAAGAGATAGGCCCAGCTTCATCACAATGAGTTTTTAGGTCAAGGGAGTTTTATAATGTTACCACAGCCCTTATTTTATATATAAAGATATTACTCCAGTTTAATTTGGTGTGAGGATTTGAATGCTCTACTGTACAAATTTTTCCATTTCCATGGAATCCACTGAAGCCTTTTTCTCCTTCAAAATGCTGTGTACTTTAGGTCTTCATTGTTTAAGATTCTCACTATGAATATCCTTCTTTGTAATTGGATGCAATATAAACCTACTGCCATTAAGTCCATATGTTGCAGAATTGCACTGTTGAATGGTTAATAATAAAAAATTTAGAAGTTAAATAAATGTCACCTGTGACCAGGGGCGAATCTATGGAAAATAGCGCTTATGGCAAGCACTGAAATTGTGCCTCTGTCCAAACATCTGACACCCATCTTTCAGATAACTGTACCATAATATCAGCTCAAAAATACAAATCAAGCTTGTTACTCTTTTAATTAACAAATTATGGCACTGCATGAAAATTACAACTGCACCTACCTTGCTTTCACTGATGCAAATTGGTCTAAGATGTGCTCAAAGTCAGTTTTTTCAGTTTCTTCTCTTTCTACACTCAGCAGAGCAAGATCACGGAGTCTGCCCTGACCCATGGAGGCTCTCAAATATGAAAGTATTAGTTTTAACTTGCTAAATGATCTCTCAAAGCTGGCGATAGGAACTGTGATGGTTAGCATTATCTGAATAGCAATGCGAAGATTGGGGAAGATGCTCTCATCTCCATACTGAACAATAAATTCCAGAAGCTCTTCAGGTCTTGATATTTTCATGTTGGCCCGACTTGACGTCAACATTTTGCAATCCAAAATTTCTTCATATAGCTGCTATCCATCAACATCAGAGCTGTAAAATTTGCCCAAATTTTTACACTTCTTTTTTAGGTTGTTACTGTCTGCGCTGTAACGCAGCCCCTCAACATGAGAAGGAACCCAAACTTGGCATCAGTGTTGTGCAAACAAGCAAATTTTTTGTCCATTTCTCTGTGAAGACAGTTGAGTGTTCCCTTCATGACTCTTTCCATTTCCTCCTTGGCTGTTAACCCAGCGTCTCTCGAGTTCTCATCAGCCATTCATTTATTTTGTCTCTGACGTCTTTCAACTTCAATATTCCATTCTTGACAGAGACCAAGTTCTTCTTCGAGTGATTCACTGACCAACACTTCTCTTTCTGTCCTTGCACTCCACCTGGTTTCGGATTGCGACTTAACAACCACAGCACGGCGTTTTGGAGTTTTTCCCAGTGCTTTGTTGAACAAGAGAAGAACACTTAGAGAGCTTCGATGGTTCCAAAAAAAACGTGACCATCATTGTATCCTTTTTGACTGCATGTACATCCACCAAGTTAAGTGAGTGATTGTCACAATTTGCAAACACTGCCTGGTTGTTTTTCTCACTTATTCTTTGATGAACATCACTTCTGTGTCCAGCCATCACAGCAGCGTTGTCATAGCACTGTGACCAACAATCTTGTAGCTTCATTTCGTCCTTCTCTAGCTGTTTCAAGATGTCTTCAACCAAGCTCTCAGCATCCTTCTGTTTTATCTGGATACAACCAAGGAAGGACTCTCTAACACGGACTGTTTTCCTCTCAAAATCAGCTTCCACGTGCCTCACTACTTCTGACATCTGCTTACAGTGTGCCTGATCAGAAGTAGAGTCGAACATGAGATCATAGTGCTTGGCTTTATGAATGATTCTCAATAAACTCTGGTGAACAGTGGATGCCATCATGTGGATGAATTTGTTCTGGACACCCAGTGAAAGATAAGACGTGGATCCAGGATGATTTGCCACATGAGTGAGGTGTTCTTTAATGACAGGGTCAAAGATGGCCAGTAGTTTCAATAAGCCAAGGAAATTTCCCACATTGGAGTCATCGTCTAGCTCAAGTGATTCCCTGTGTCCTCGCAAAGTCAGGTTTTGAGTCGCAAGGAATTTTATGCAGTAAAGGATTCTCGTCAAGATATCATGCCACTTTTGCTTTCCTTCTCAATCTGTGACTGAAGTTTCACATCAATAACTCTGTTTGCAGCTAAATTTCTTTCCATTCCTTTCCACTGTGTGAAGCACTTCTGATGATTCTTAGGATTTTACATGAACACTAATCCTTTCATGTGCTTTCCACTGGTTGAATCCACTTTCCTGCTCCAATGAAGATTGACTGGGAATAGAGAAGACAACAGATATAAAATGCAGACTTTTTAGAAGGGGAATAGACCAGCCATGAGCGAGTCACTTCCTCACCATGACCATTTCTCAATTTCCTCTTGAACCAAGTTTTTTTTCATTGAGCAGTTATTTGTTGGTAGGAAAGACCCCTCACTGTTCTGGAAATTCTTCGAACCCAACTTTATTATTTCTGTTCTCAATGTGTCAGGCAGAATTGCTTTTCCATTATTCTTGTCAAACTTCAGAAGTCCAATGTCATGCTGTTCAGTCACTTCTGGTATGACGGTTTGAGGCTCTTCGACACCATCCAGTTCACTAGGTTCGATGTCATCAGGTTCAATCTTGTCAATAAACTCAACATCACCACCACCACCACCATCGTCTTCCCCTCCTGTCATGTCCACGTTCTCTCTGACAGCCTCACTGTTAATCTCGTTATACTTGGATTTATCTGACTTGACTTTCTCCTTGGCTTGTGACGCATTTGTACTTGATCCACCTTCGGATTCTAACAAACTTGTAGCTGGTGCAGGCAACTTCATGGAACATGTCGAACTACTTGTTCCGGGCTTTTTAAAGAAGTGCATGAACAACTTGCTCGACTTCTTGGCTTCCTCTGCTTCCAACTTTCGTCTCATCCATCCTTCAGCTCCACTTTCATTCTTCTTTGTGAAGAAACATTTCATGGTCTTCTTAAACAATGCTCTGAAATAAGGAAATGGCACTTTTAATAAGAGCATTAAATTTCATAGATTTTGCACAAAATTCTGGACTACCTCCCTAGTTTGCACAGGAGAATGGTCTTACTGCCAGTTGGCACTGAGCAGTGGTACTATGAGGTATGTGGTCATGTTGCTCCCAGCACTGTATTATATTTACCTAATAATTTCTATAAGTGGTTTAACAATCTGGTCATCCTAGTGTTTTTCACCCATGATAATCAAAGACAGATCACGCATCTGAATAAAATTCTTTTTTCACTATTTGAGGATCGCTTGTCTGACTTTAATAGAAACTGCTCAGTGGTGCCTCCACTTCACGTGGCACCCAGGGTACCTGCCATTCCTTAGGTATGCCACTGCCTGTGACACCATGGCTCCATCCATCAGGGCCACCATGCTTCGCATCTGCAGTGGCATATAAAGTGCAGTTAATAATTTTTATATGTACTTGACGTAATCTTCTGTTACATTACTATAATTTACCTAATGATTTTTGAGGCTTTTTATATTTTTGGAAATTTAAATTGTTCTTATGATTTTATCGATGTTTATTGAAATACAAAAAAAATCAAAGAAAGTATAGATTAGAGTAGCCTGCGAGATGGATGTGATCTAATGTGATTAGTGTGGTTGGACTATGAACCAAAGAGTTCACGGTGTGCATCCTTTTGCCACAGAGTAGCCAAATAGTTTGTGGTGATGTTGTCGACTAGATGTTCTCCCTCTAGTGAATCAACTCAAAATGACTACCCTTATGTGTAGCTTTGCACAAAAATTAAAATACACACAATGAAATTAGAACATGTACAGGTATCTAATGTTAACATACATACTAGTGTTTGTGTAGTTATAAAATGTCTGTTACCCATTACTAAAAGTTCACTGAGTTTGAACATTTTGAAAACTGATAAGCAAAAAATTTAGTATAAAAATAAAAACCATATGAAATTCAACACCATGGGATTGAAGAACTGCAATAGTGAAACTTGTGAATCAAAATATCCTTTCAGCTGAAATAAAGAAGTATGCAATGCTTTCCGTTTTAAATATAGCACAGTTTTTGTGATGAATAATTGCCTTATTTATTCAATCTTCTAGTCATATAACATGGCGTAAGATTAATATGTACTACAATGCCTTTTGAAACACTATTATTATTGCAAAATATCATCAATATTGTCATTACTTCTTTTAGAGTAATTTTACTCAATTGTTTTTTGTTAGTCCTGTACACTTGGTATTTTAATAAGCAGTACTATAATATTACTCAATATGTAGCAATATGAGAACCCCACTGGTAGTAACTGGAATACAAAAAATTCTGTAATTTAAGGGTTAACAGTGTCATTGTTAATTATGTAAACACCATCCAAGTATCCTCTTATCTGTTTTTCATACCTCATTTATTCAAGCTTGAATTTCAAATGATGTGGTTGTAGTAACTCGTTTAATCATATAAACGTGTTGAATATATTAAGGATATGAAGCATAAAATAATAATATTTAAAAATCATTAACTTGTAATAATACTCAGTATTTCCTCTTCTCTACTTAAGTGATGCTTTGAGTATGGTCTAGTTTATATACACTATAAACTTAACCCTATTTGTTTGTTATAGGACTATGTAACCATATTATACTATTGCATTTACTAATAGCTTGCCAGTTGTGGCATATATATATATATATTCAGATGAGCTGAATATTCATTCAAATTATTGGATAGGTCCAGTAAATAACAAATTTGCTCGAGATATTGATTACAGATAATTACTAAATGTTTTACTAACTAAGTTGATGTAAAATGAAATAATGAGATTGGACACAAAGTGAAATACAAAATGAACAATCTTTATTATATGGTAAACACAGCATTTGCACTTGCAGTTTACTTACATCAGACCATTGCTTTCACTGTGTCAATGGACTGACTACCAATGACCCATTTCTACTAAACTGTCTTTAATGATGCTCCAGACCAAACTGTTAAATCCAGGGATCTTTAGTTTCAAAGAAATATTTCATTTATCCTGTACCATGCATGCTACCCACATGACTGGTCAGTCTCACTACACATAAGTGGGGCTGTAACCTCTAGATACCATCTCTGCAACCACTGATGGACACTGCTGTCAACATCCTGACATGAAGTCACATTAAACAATAGGCAGTGATGGGTATTACCTACTTTGAGATTAACAAAGAAACAAAAGTAACTTGAAATAAGATCAACTTAACAGTTTTCGTGACCATGTGTTATGTGAAATCTGCACATATTCAAAACAAAGAATAAATTCAGAATAAATATCATAACACTATTCATACACCACACAAGTTCAGATACATTTATTTTACCTGTCTTGATATGTAAATGTTTATTTCAAGAGTTGAGGCCTCACCTCAACTATTTATTTTTAATGTGGGACATAACTTTTTGTATTTTTGTTCTAAAATATTTTAAATTAAATTACTAGATGTTTTATGATTTTCTTTTGAATCATATTGTTTATCAGATGTAGATGGTGTACAGTAGTATTAATGGCATAAAATAAATTTATTCTCAATGCTAGTTAACTTTACATTCCCAAATTTGGAATAGATCAAATATAATTGAAATATAAAAAAAAAATGTTTTTATTTTAGATAAGAATGAGCAGATTTTCTGTTTTCTTGTATTTTCAGGGTCATATCAGTCTAGAAAGAAAAGGCTACCATGTTCCAAAACAAGGGACTGTTCAAGTGGTAGGTTTTGTTTTCTCTGGTTGACACTTAATAGTAATGTGATTGATGTAATAATTTAATCATTTTTGTTGTTTAATATATCCTTTTAAGTTTTTTATTTTTATTTAATTTTCACCAGTACAGTTTTTAAGAATTGTTTCACCAGTGGAAACAGAGGTTCTTCTGGCACTTTGTGCTCTAAAGGTCTGCATTTTTACAAATAATAAGTACTGGTAGGGGAAAATAAGTCATTAGTGAGGCAATTTCCCCACCCATAAGGGGACTGCGATGCAGTGAATCATTTGCTATATTTAGTTATTTACTGAAGGTAATTCAGTGATCTAATCAGTTTATGTTATGAACAAGATCTTCAACTATTATGTTTGAAAACAACAAATTGTGTTGAAAAAGTGAGGAAAATACATTTTTAACAATCAAAATAAATTTTTGTGTTCCATAGATACTGTAGGATGTAAAAAAGCCCATTAGATCATGCAATATTTTTGGCAATTAATAACAATGTGTAAGGTCTATAATAGTGTACTTTGAAGGATACAAATATGGTATGGTTGATCATTTTGATGAAGGGAATTTTGGTATTGTGAAGGGTCTGTGTAAGAGTCCAACATTTGATATTCATACTACATTTTGCAATTAGCTATGGAGGTTGGGGCCTAGTGTGGCCCAATGTCTACGTGCTCAGATCTGAGAGTTCATTGCCTCATGGCAACAGAAACATATTCTATAGTTTAGGGAGGTTGGGGCCTAGTGTGGCCCAATGTCTACGTGCTCAGATCTGAGAGTTCATTGCCTCATGGCAACATAAACATATTCTATAGTTTAGGGAGGTTGGGGCCTAGTGTGGCCCAATGTTTATCTGATCAGATCTGAGGGTTCATGCCTCATGGCAACAGAAACATATTCTATAGTTTAGGGAGGTTGGGGCTTAGTGTGGCCCAATGTTTATCTGCTCAGATCTGAGGGTTCATGCCTCATGGCAACAGAAACATATTCTATAGTTTAAGGCCATGGATTTGCTATGAGAGTGATGTTCAAATCATACTATTTAGTCAGACAAGAGTAGGCTGAGTGTACTTGACAGGCTATTTTGATTATCTGCCTTCCCTTTAGTTTGGTCAGGTTAGAGTAGCCCAAAAGTTAGTGGTGGGTATTTTTGAATAACTTCCATGTAGTCTGTAAATTTCAAAATAAGGATGGCTATGTGAAGATAGCTTTTTGTGTAGTTTTACGTGACCATTTTAAAATAAACTATGGAAATTTAAAGCAATGTGAGTCTGGATTGCAATCTGAGATCTCTGTTCAACCTGTGAACATAATCAATATTAAAACATACATTAGTCATTGAAATATATCTTCCATTTGCAAATTGTAAACATTTAAAATTATACCAATAAAAAGAAATTGTGTAAGTATTAACACTAGCAATAAGAACAACACCTGTATGGACTTTCCTTAATATAGGCTAGGTTCATTATTTAATCAAACAAGTTGGAGACTAGAGTTGAATGAAAAAATAAAACCCAGAGCAGTGATTCATCATAATATAAACAAGATTATATTTAATGCAAAATTTATTGTTTTACATCCTTCTTATTGTTAATGTTTTGCAGAAGAAAACTTATCGTTTATTAATTCATTTTAAAATATATCATTCTAGACTTTATTTAATCCACATCGAACTGTGGTTAAGATGTTTGTAGTGAAGTATAGTCTGTCAGACATGCCACCAAATTGCCAAACTTTTATGCGCCAACGAACACTCTATATGCCAGTAGGAGCTTCTCAGAATGATCCAGAATCTCAAAAATGGTTGAGGTACCTCATACACCTCAGGTATGATTTCAGTCTACAGTGCGAGTTCAAAATTAGCATAATGTAATAGTTGTTTAACTTAACAATAACTGATAAGTCTTAGGGTGTGCAATATTACCTCACAATAGGAATGATAATAATTCAACTTACGCAAGTTACATCTTACTTTTCTCGACTAACTACAGGTTTCCAGTAAAAAAAAAATTATATAAAAAGCATCTTCAATTATACCTTGTTTGGTGTACACTAAAACCCTACTGTGATGAAACTGGACATATCTCATATCATTAACAAGATAAGTAATGATTTGATATTGATAATGGCCTACTAGATATAGAAATGTACTTTTACCTCGAACATTAACTATTTAGAATAAGCTATAGATGATATTAACACTGTATCATCTCAATATTTAGAAGCTATATGTTATTCCATAAATATTACAATTCTAGTGAGCCAGCTTGTCTGTTGTGCATTATAAAAGTGATACTGTTCATTACACTCATTTATGTCATACCTGTATTGACAAATCAGAATATATCATATCATAAAATTACGCAGGCATTTTTTCCATCAGTAATTTGATTTTCATTTAACTTTCTCATAGGTTTGCTAGCTCAAAATCGGGTCGAATCTACCTCCACACAGATGTACGTTTAATAATCTTCAGGAAAAGTGATGTTGACACAGCCACCATTCACGGAGATGAACCTTATGAACTTAGGTCTTTCATTCAAGAGCCTTTAAATCCAAAATTTTCTCCTCTGAAATAATATTAGTACTTTGTAGACTGATCATGTATGTGATTTTATGAAAGAATTTAAGTACACATTTCTGTTTATTTATATATATATATATATCTGTTGTGTATGACTCATCTGTACAAATGTTTTAACAATGATGTCATAGATGTGATTTTATAAATACATGTGATAGATAGGCAAATATTTATTGTGTTCTTCATTTCAATGAGCATAAAGATATTACAAATGTATAACATTTGATATGTTATATCTCACAAATGTGCTTCTTGACAATAGCTCTGTAGCATAGTTTCCATTACAAAAGGCTGTCATGTCCAAATTGCACAACTCTATATTCTTTTCATAATCCATTTCATGTATGAGGATCACAATTTCTCAGTACCTCCTTCAACAGTTTGGTCACACAGAAAACAATAGGCACTGCACCTGCTTTGTTTTCATGTGGAATAGCATGAATGCCCATTTTACTCTGTAGCTGCTTGAGGTAAGCAACAGTTGAAAGGATATAAATTTCGGAAGCATTTTGTGTATACATAGTTTGTGTTTATTTTCCAGACAAAGATCCTTCTTGATTATGTTGTGTACTGTTTACTGGGTCACATGGATGGCTATTGCAACAGACCTTTGTGTTTTTGGATTCTTGCATGTTACGAGACACTACACTTTGTGTAGCACAATGGAAATATAACTTGTTGCAGGTCTCTTTCTAGATGAAATGGTGCACCAAGTTGATCCATAATCCGTCATTTTTTAATGCCATTAAAGAGATGGGATATCCCCATCTTGGAAGTCTAAATCCCCGATCTGAACACAACCTTATAATCTGAATGTATGAATATTTTGAGTTAGAAAGAGCTGTTGCGTATCCTTCCGAGAACTGATCAGTTTTTGGTGACATCAAATTATCTAAGTAATGCTAAACAATTTCAAAATATAATTATGATACATATCCACCAAAACTTTATATCGGCTCTCAGTAGAGAAAATACCTCCTCCACGCAGCATTGATCATATTTAGCTGTCAAAAAATAGGTAAATGTGTCTGTATTTCCATCATTATTAATGGATATGAATAATTTTTGGCAGGACAATGAGGTAATATTTTACATATGTCCACCAAGTTTTATTGAAATTCGATCATTTTTCACTGAGTTATAGAACAAAAACAATGTGAATAATTTGTTCCCATGTTAACAATTAAGGATTTTTTTTATTTCCATGACCTTGACCTTCCAAAAACTAATCACTTCTAAGTTGGGTCATAGTCCAAATTTATACTAACTTTTGTCCAAATACATTCAGTTGTTTTCAAGAAATCTTGACACACACACAGGGGTGAAAACATAACCTCCATCCACCTTTGGTGGCAGAAATGATCAGAATGATCCCAGTAGTAGTGAATGACTACCTTAATGTCCTAATGTGACTTCTTTTCATATTAACACTGAATTAAATGAAAGGTCTATGATACTCCTTTCATGGATTTGGAGGAATAAGTCAGCTCTGCCTGTTATACTCTTCAATGAGGATCTTCATGTCTAATGTGAACATTTGCCTGGAAAAGCTTTTACTTGTGTATTTAAATCAATAAACCTGATGCCCTTGTAGCAATGAATATTTTTTTCGTGTCATTTAAAACACCCTGTTTATTTTCAAATGTTAGCCTAGAAAATTTTGGGTATGATATTGTGTGATATAACTGGAGTGAAATTTCACAGCCTTTTCTGAGAAAGGACAGCAAGATAGTTAAACAATGTACAGCCAAAGACACAACATTTTAAAGAATAGAGCCTTCAATACCTTTCATAGAACCAGAAAAACTGGAGCATTTGTGCAATGAACAAGTTCTGAAACCCCACCACAAGCAAATCAAAAGTAATGCCCTTATCCACAAAATCTATGGAATCAAAATATAATTCTCCAAATCGTTGCAATTAAGGTAGCATATACCCTTTAAATGTAAAAGAAATATCACAATATATTTTGAATTAATTTTTGGAGGTTTTCCTTTGTTCAGACTAATTCTTCACATCCCATCAATGTCTGGGCCCATTTTCAGGAGCATTCAGTTATGTTTGTAGTAGGTATCAGAAACACAAGACATTTCTTTTGTATTTCTTTATTTTTATAATACACAAATTAGCCACAGTGGTAATGTAACACAACGTGTGCCAGAATATGTACCTATTTCAATATATTTTCATACAAAAAGCCTTATATGAAGATGTTTTTTTTTGATAAAAAAAAGCCAAAACCTAGATAACACTATGTAAGGGATATATATATATATATATATATGCTACCTTAAGTTGGACATATCTCCTTACAATACTAAAAGAAAAGGTATGAAGTTGATGATAGGAGTTTTTTTTTATGAGAAAAATGGTAAAAACAACTGGAATAGCAGCAATTCCACTTGGTCATATCACTGCAAAGTTCTTTCATGCATCTCTCATGGACTTTTGTACCTTTAATCTGTTTAAATGTGGTCTTGGAAGCCAACATCCTACAGTGGAGGGTCTGCAGAAAAGTCCTGTTACCTGAAATCATCCTTCACAAAAGTTTATTACAGTAGGAGTTGTGTTGTTTGGTAATAGTGTTTAATCATGATCATCAGATTGAATTTGATGGGGAGGAAGTAAAGCACAAAGAACATCACTTTATTTATTTTTTTTTTTTTTACAAGTTAGTTTACTTAATAGAAAATGAAAATGTGTTTACTTAAAATTATTATATTATTGTAATGTATCTGTCATTGGTCAGGCTCTTGTGGATTATCTAGTAAAAATACCTACACCACGTAACGATAACGAATTGATTGATTTCTTTAATAATGTTTGATACAGGCTACGTTAACTTTGACGCATTTTATAGGCCAAGTTAACAAACAAACTTTTCAACATAAACTCTGAAACTACTGTAGGCCTAATACACTAATAACATTTAACAGAAATTTCCTCGATTGATAAACCTGACTAATTAACAAAATCTCTAACTCTTTCTGAGTAACTTTACTCGATCAGTTTTCTTTCCATCAACAACTATTTGATCTTGAATACTTCACTAATTTCTCAATCAGTGAATGTACATCTTGAAGATAGCTTTGATATACGGAAACATCTGTTAGCTGAGTTCTTGCAAAGATATTAAAATATAATGTTCATAAATGGAAATATCGGCTCGTGTAGATACGTAGATCTTGAAAGTCGAGTTGTTCAAAACTTGAAAATTGCGTTGTTAACTGGACCAATTGTTGGTTGAGATGTTGCAAAAGAAATATCTGCTGAAACTTTTTCGCCAGATACTAATCATAGCAGAACCGTCTGGAAAATGATCTATAGAAGTAGTACAGATTACAAAATGAATCAGATCAACGTAGGCCGGTAAGGCAATCACTGATTGGCATGTCTTTTAGCCAATCAGGAAATGTCAAAGACCAACAGAAGGATGTGTAGATTGTATAGGAATTCTTTTTCGCGGCTAAAGGACAGGTTTATGTTCTTTGGTTTTATTGTTATGAAATTTTTACATGTTCTGCGGTAACTTATGTACGCTGAATCTGAAAATGATATACGTTTTTTCCCATCACGTACAGATTTTTCACAAAACGTCATAACGCAAGACAAAAGAAAGACCACAACACATAGTTGTGAGACTAAACGACAGAGGTTTAAAAAATAAATAAATCAGGATGAATGAGGATGCATGTCCGTTTGGCATCAGTGTTCTTTCCTTTTCTTCAGTTTGTATTTTTTTTATATAACAAACGTAATAATAAAAAATGTTCATTGTGGTCAACGAAATAATATTTTGATCTAAGTAAGAGTTTTTGTTCTTCCCGATTTTTTAAAACATCCTTACGTGATAGAAAAAAATAATATTATTTTCGAAATCTGCGTAGACGAATTTTAGAAAATCCGTTATTAAAACCAAAATAACTTTTATGAAGTTTAAAATTCGCAGACCTGTGTAATTGTAGGGCGCAGTTCTTATGCTTTCGGCCCGGCATGACCAGCTGGTTAGGGCACTCGACTCGCAATCTGAGGGTCGCGGGTTCGCCCTTTCAGCCATGAAAGCGTTATATTGTGACGGTCAATCCCACTATTCGTTGGTAAAAGAGTTGGCGGTGAGTGGTGATGACTAGCTGCCTTCCCTCTAGTCTTTCACTACTAAATTAGGGACGGCTAGTGCAGATAGCTCTCGTGTAGATTTGGGTGAAATTCGAAACAACCAAACAAACCTTGTGCTTTCTGAATGATGCTGTTAATGAAAATAGTATATAGTCTGAGGGAACAGGAAAAGGTGAAACCGAGGTCATACTTCTCGACCGAAGGAAAGAGAATGGTAGCATGTGAAACGGACACAGACAAGCACTATTTAAGTTATATTAAGTTGGATATTATTACTAGAACCTTAAGAAGATTATTCAAGGGAGGAATTTCACCAAGCATAAAATAATAGTAGAATAATAATGTTAAAACCGCCATATTTACAGTGGGCACCTAGTGTTAAAAATGACAAAAGTAAGCGATACACAACAGTAATTAGGGACGGTGCAATGCTGCTTGGCTGCGCGCTGACAAACTTAGAGCAACAGGTGTTATTGTTTTATTTAATTTTCGCTCAATATTACTCGAGAACTATCTGCGCTGCTAATAGACTAGGGGAAAGGCGGCTACTCAACACTATCCACCGCTTCTTTTTTTGGGGGCTTTTTGCGAACGATTAGTAGGATTAACAGTAACATTATAACGACCACACTGCTGAAAGGGCGAACATGTTGGACGAAGGGTTTCGTTTCTGCGAGTACAGCGTCCTAACCGCTAGGCCCTAGAAAAACAAGACTTCACAATTGGAGGGAAGAGAGCCATTGGTAAACTATTCTAGCAGACGAATAAATTAATTGAGAAAGTGGTATCAGAATACAAAAGTACTTTATTCATTTATTTGTTTTATCTATGTGTTTATTTTTATCATTACAGAAATCCGGATTAGGTAATTCACAACAATATGTAGAGTTTGATACGCATAAATATTATTATTATTATTATCTATT